ACAACAGAAAAGTGGGTGAAGTAAACAGTGGTCGATGTAAGATATGAAAAAATGTTTATAAATTATCAAGAGTTCATGAGGGATGGAGGGAGGGGACGGTGGAGGGGGAAAATGAGCTGTTATCAAGGGCTCAAGTAGAAAGAAAATGCTTTGAAAATGATGATAGAAACATATGTACAAACGTGCTGGACACAACGGATATATGTATGGATTGTGATAAGAGCTGTAGGGAAAACCCAAAGATGAGAAGAAAACATTTTTGTAAGTCATGTGCCTGCTACAGTGCCTGTACATAAAACATTATAAGGGCTTCAAAAGCTTGTGGATATTATCTTTTATAACCATTTTTCCATAAGGCATTTGAAGCCCTGCATATAAAGAACTCAATAATAAAAAGACAATTCAAATTCAAAATGGGTGAAAGATTGGAACAGACATTTCTCCAAAGACAATATGCAAATGGTCAATATGCACAAGAAAAGATACTCAGCATCCTTTGTCATAAGGAAATTCCACTCCTAGGTATAAGCCTAGGAGAAATAAAAACACCTATCTAGGGAGAAAAAACAACCTTTACATATATGCCTGTGCATAGCAGCATTACTCATAACAGCCAAATGGCAAGGGAAAACTATCCATATGAATGAATAAACCAAACGTGCTGTATTTATACAGTGGAATGTTATTCTGCTGTAAAAGAAATGAAGTCCTGACACCTACGTGCTTCATTAGGGTGAGTCTTGGAAACATAACACTAAGGGAAAGAAGCCACACAGAAGACCACATACCATATGACTCTTAACTTATATGAAATGTCCAGAACAGCAAAACACAAGACTGTCCCCAAAGAGACAAGAAACAGAAGTGGTGGGGAAGCAATGTAGGGTGAGGAAGGTTGGAGATAAAGCTTATGGGGCTTCTTTCTGGGGTGAAGAAAATGTCCTGAAGTTGAGTGTGAGGCTTGTGGAGCACTTCCAAAGGTGAATTGTAAGGTACGTGAATTAAATCTTCCAAAAAAAAAGTTTTTATCTGGGTTGGGGGAGGAGGACATGCAGAGTTAGTGCTGAATGAGTACAGTTTCAATTTGGGGTTGTCAAAGCGATCAAAATTTTGAGGCGCTCTATTCAAGTATCCCCTCAACACAAGAACCCTTTGTTCTAATAATCCTGCATTCCGAGATGCTCACCTTCCCGACAGGATCGCTGAAGACAAAGTGGGTGCATAAGCAAATGTGGTGAAGAAAGCTGATGGTGTCCAGCTATCAAAAATATAGCATTTGGGGTCTCAAAGGCTTGAAGATAAACAAGCAGCCATCTAGCTGGGAAGCAACAAAGCCCACATGGAAGAAGCACACCAGCCTGTGTGATCATGAGGTGTCGA